GGGGAGGGGGAAGGAAGCTTAGTGCAGGACTGGGAAGGGGGTTGGATCGGCAGCAGAGGGCCAGAAATGACCTCCCCTGGTCTGGCAAAATTCTCATCTGGGACCAGTCAGGTCTGGAGGGTGCCGGATGAGGGAGGTCCTACCTTATTATTCTGTTACTGCCAAATTGGAGTAAAGCCAGATAACATTATCATAAGACTGATAGACTTCTAACTTTTCAGGCTTTATGACCCTTTAGGGCACAGGTGGGGAACCTTTTTTGGGTCGGGGCCACTGACCCCGAGACAAGTAGACTTTGTGTGCTCCAGCCCCACGGTGGGATGTTGGGGGTGGGAGTGCCAACACAGGCTCCCCAATGCTGGCAGGGGGGAAGGTCCCAAGCCTCAGGAGCTGGATCCAGACAAGCTGGGGGCTGCAGATTTCCCACCCCTGCTTAATGCAGAAGTAGCAAGATAGGATAAATTGAGTTCTGTATTGATTGTTGTATGTCATGCCTTGTTGAGTGTGAATACTGCTATGTGAATGTACTAATTGGTTCCTTCTTGACTTCCCTAAGCAAAGGAGCTCCTGGTTTAGCATATGTTCTAGTGACACTGTGTATTCTTACCGATTTTACTTCTGCCTTCCATACAGGCTGGAGATTTAGGGAATGCTTAATTTCAGTTTGTAAATCAGGTTGCAACATAGATACCCAGCAGAGTCTTAAAACACTCAGCTTTGTATTTTCCGCAAGAAAGTAATTGTTCACTAAAAAGATCCAAAACAAATGACAAATTTAGCTTCTTTAACAATAGTACAACAACTTGAATGTTATTTCCCTGTTAGGTTTTTGGGATTGTGAGTGGTTAACTGGTTGACCAGTAACCCTCACCTTTACTGGGTGATGCGTATAGTTTACGGTTAACTGGCAGATCCAGCCTGTCCCGAGAAGCCCCCGCTGTGCTTCTGGCGAGACCAAAGGGTGGGGAAGGGTGCAGGCCTGACTCGAATTAACTGGTATCCACACAAGGCTGGGAGCCGGTAGCCTGCTTTTCTCCCCTGAGCTGGAGCCCCCATTTACATTTAACCAGTTAACTAATTAAACAGGATTTTATATCCCTATTGGGAACCATGTTTTTATATAAAATATCCCCCCACATCCAATCATATCACTTCTACATAGTAATACTTGACTTTATATTTTAATCTATAAATGCTGACTCTTTTTCCTCTACAGGTGAGAAGCCATATGAATGTCAAATTTGTAGTCAGTCCTTCAGAATTAAGAAGACATTAACAAAACACATGGTTATTCATTCAGAGGCTCGACCTTTTAACTGCCAGCATTGCAATGCAACATTTAAACGAAAAGACAAATTGAAATACCATATTGACCATGTGCATGGAACAAAGGCTGCAGAAGAAATAGTAACCACATCTGAGGAAAAAGTAATCTCCTTACCGGTACAATATAGCTCTGATGACAAACTTTTCCAAACTGATTCTAAACCATATATGGAGCAGCCTGAAGTTTATGAAACAGAAGCGAAGCCTATGCTACAGAATGTACCAACAGAAGTATGTGTGCCGGTAACACTGGTGCCAGTTCAAATGCGAGAACCTCAAGCTGATCTAATACAACATACCACTACTCTCTCACCCCAGTCTCATGGCATTCTTCCCCCACAGGCTCAGCAGCCAGATTATCAACGAGCAACAGATCTGGCATTTCTGGAAAAATATACTCTCACTCCCCAGCCTGCAAATATAGTTCATCCTGTCAGACCTGAGCAACTGTTGGATCCTAGAGACCAGTCTTACCTTGGAACTTTATTAGGGCTTGATACTGCTCCAGCTGTTACCAATATATCAAATAACGAACATTCATGATCAGGTTGTAACATTCCACCTAATTTACTAAGCCATTGGTCACCAGAAAGTCAATATGGCTATTGAGTTTTTTAGTTTATTTGGACTTCTAGTCTTCTGAACAATTTTGTGTAGTGCAAGGAAAAAAATTGATTTGTTTACATATATGACCATTAAGACTATTTTATGTATATTTATAGTGTTTCCTGTGGTTTTAAAGACTTTTAAATCATATAAAAGGTCTTTTGAAAATAGGTTCTCGAATATCATTTAAGAATACTAGCTGCAGCAAACATTAATCCCTTACCTGGCCATTAATGAAAATAACTGTTCACTTTCCAAATAAATGTTTCTGTGGGTAATGGAAAGCATACTAGAAGACTTAAGGTTATGGCCAATTCATTAAAGTCATGATTGGAAAGGAACATGAAATTAAACCTCTTAATACCTCACCTTAAATTAAAATTTAATGTAATCCTAGACAAACTTAGTAAAAAAAAATGTAATCATAATTCATATGTTTAGTGGAATTTGATTATAAACGATATTCGTGGTCTCTTAACCTTGGTTGTCTTCTAGAACATTTCCAACATTTGGGCCTTTAAAAGGTTGAGAAATTTCACCCTCAGGCAGTAATTAAAGATAGGAATAGTTCAATTGTTAAGGAGCACGGAGTCAAACCAAGCTGAAGCCCTTACAAATATACTGATTTCCACATTACTGCTGTGTAAAGTAATTGGGGGGAAAAAAACCTTTTCAGAAAATTAATGTATTTAAATTTATTAAGAGATTAATGAAATTGGCAATTATCAGTCTTCATTTGGCTTCTGGGAAGAATGTGAAAGGAAGTAATTTGCTTTTTCATGTTATGTGATATACATAATATATGTGACAAATAATTAAGAAGAAGAAAGGAGATTAGAACATGTAAGGGGTCTAACTATTCTTTTAGTGTTTCCTTACTGTTTTCTTAATGTAGAACCATATCTCATCCACTATCTAGAAATTTTAAATTAAATCCTACAAATTCTCTTCTAAGTAGACGTGTGCAAATCTATGGATCATTTTTGCGTATTATGGATTGGATGCACATACAAACTTTGTATTTATATAAGGCTCTACTTCTAACCTCATTCTCAAAACAATACTTTCATTTTTGTAGACTCAGTCTTACACCAAAGGAAATACACAAGTATGATTCTATTATATCTTAGTTATGTCTCATTAGGAATTCTTTTTTAAATTAAACTTTCCCTGCATTCCTTAAAAATCTGGATCTCTCACTTATATTACTGTAAGTTATGTTTATCCAATTTCTAAATCGTGAAACTGGAAGTTCATTTGCTATGGTCAGTTACTGTTAAACGTTTTCATTTGGTAGGAGCATAAGTAATCTCTGAAAAAAATCATACTGTTACTACAAATTCTTAATGAACCTATCCTGTAAAATGTTAATTAACTTCGCATGAGGAATTTGAATGCTTTGCAGGACTGGGGCTAGAGCTGGGTGTCTGGTAATGTTGAAAAGCTTTTCAACTTGAGTCTCACCTAAGTGCACCAAAGATTTTCTATTTGCAGTTGCATTATAGTAGGATGCATAGAATTTAATGTATTATTTAAATAAGGACTTGTCCAAAGAAGCACAATAGAAGTCCTAGACATACAGATCTTTAAAATTCAGTACCTATAATAGAACTAAGAGTATGTTTAACTGTTTTGTGTTATATGTACAAAGCAAGATTAGAGATAAATACTTGGAGAATGTTCATACTGAGATGCTGTGCATATACGTCAAGTAAAAAGATGAGTACTAATTAATATACAAAAATATTCAAGCTATTGAATGCCACCTTCTAAAAAGACACTCTCAAGCACTGTACTCCCTGCTTGTCCTCTGAAAAAAATAAAGTTACGACCACCATGTTTACACCTCAATGGACAAAAATATAGTTGAATTTCAAATTTTCAAGTTGACAAGCACTGGATTATTTTACTCCTTTGAACATTGATATTGTGTATGCAACACAAGTCAATGTGCTTTCCAACGTTTATGTTCATATCTTTAAAGACTAGCTAACTGATAAACTAACATCAGTGCTGTGAGCACAGTTCTGAGACTGATAGTCTAACTGCATCATTTACTGACTCTTTGTCTGCAATGAGGAGAGGATTGCAATTAAATAGGTATACAAATATTTGTAGTTACGTTTTTTGTTTTTTTTTAATTCGATCAGTCTGTAACACACTTAACATTATTTAAATGTTGAGATTGAATTTGGGGCATATATTAGTGCTCTTTTAAGTCTGTTAGGATTGTGCCTATTTATACATGTACTGTTCACTTTAGTTGATAATTAAATAAAACAAAGTCAATATTTTCAAAAGTGCCTAGTGACTTTGGGTGCTCAACTTGAGACACTTTAGAAGTGTTTAAGTTGAGTACCCCAAATCATTAATTCTCTTTAAAATGTTGGCCTAATAGTTCTTTAGTGCAGTTTTACAATTAGCCAGTTTGCCTCTTCACCATGTAGTCAGGCTCAATTATTTCCAGTGAAGGAAAAATAGTTCAGGCAGGAAAACTTACATAAAAGTGCTAGATTAAAATAGTTTGTTTTATATATGCTGGGTTTTGATTCTTATGGTGTATGGGTATAGTGAATTTGCATATGAGTTAAGTAAATCTCCATGGACTGGTACTTCATTGTGTAAGGAGGAATGGATGATCTTCAACCTGACAGAATAAAACGTCCGGGCCCCGAGAGAAGTATGAACCATCTTGACTGCATAGACCAGAACTCCTTTGGTCATGGTACTTTCGTATCAATAAACACATCTTTGTACCTATTTAACAAGAACATGTTCAGTAAGCATTGAAAGAGTTTTCAAAATTAAGGCTGTTTTAATTTGGTAGCATAGACTCAGCTCACCACTTAGAGCTGAAAGAGGAAGTGGATGTCTTTAAAAATGTCACTTTCTGATCGGTGCCAAAGGTTTTAAAGTTGTTTTTGTGGGTGGGGAAAAAAATTTTTTGGAGGAAAATTTGTGCTCTAAGTCTTTCTGTAAAATTTTCTTTATCTTACACGCTTGGCTGTAATTCTGTATAAATCACTGCATTTATATCTGTTTGAATATTGCATATCTTTCAAAAATTAACTTCCCTCATATTTACTTTGTCACTGGTTATTCCAGCATATCAAACCTTTCAATGGGTTTTATATATATATTTTTAATTTTTAAGAAATCCTTCCTGATCATTGCTACTTTTTCTACAATACTATCAATTTCCCTGGCTGTCCTCATTCTGAACAGCAGCAGCAATAGTGTACACAACAATATAATCCCTTTAAACATAAAATAATTACCCTACTTTTAAATTTGCATAATTTTTAGAGACTAATCATGTCACACATACCCTTCAGAAATAAAGGTCTTAAAATGTAAAGAAAAGACACTGTAGTCATCATTCCTGGTGAGAAACATGTTGAGAACTGGATTTTCCAGGCAGGTCATTTGTTCCAGTATCCAAATCATAATGTTCCAGAGCAAGTCAACAGTCTCTTTAGAATGTGTTTGTTGGAGTTTAAAATTCATTATTTTTTCCCCTTTTAAAAATGGAACTTGCTTGTAAAGCAGACGTGAACTGTGAGAATCTAGTTGCTGGAGAAGGGAAAGGCAGGTACTTTGATAAAAACCATAACTATCCTTTCTATTTCATAACTTTTCTGATGCATTATAGGAGACTGTTTTCAAACTGACGTTCCCCATAACAAACCATGTTTTAAAACGTTAAACTTTTTTATATCAAAAGCAAAATAAAAATATAATGGCAATACTTTGCCACTGTTGTATGAAATACTGCGTTTTGAGTGTGAGCTGTATAGGTTGATATTTTAGGTGGAAGTCTTTTTAAGTACAACTTGCCATTTTTTAGTGAAATCTCTGCTCTAAAACATTGTGATTGTAGTCTGTATAATTGTCTGTGTAATTCTGTTCAATATTAAATATCTAAAATTCCTTTGTGATATTGCTTTCATTTCAACATTTCTTGCGGAGTGATTGTTGCTCTAGATTTGTACTGACTTTAACACCATGAAAATGCACTAATTCTGCATGGTTTTTAAAATTAAAAACAATGGAAGATAAACTTTTTTTAATTGTCAGATTTGTGACTGTCTCATGATCTTATTTTATTTTGTAAATTTAATTTACGAGACCCCTTAGTTTGATCTTGTCTCTGAATGTGATAAGTCTTTTAAAAAAAAAATCTTAAGACTTACCAAAACAATTTATAAATTGATGAAGTTGACAATTGCAAAAAAATATATTCTCTACCTAGTAAAAACTAGTATGTTCTGATGATATATTTTTCAGAATTGATAAGTATTCAATAGTTCCTAAGACAAGTGGACGGATATGTTGAATACTTAGTATTTGACAAACAGTTTTGACTAGGAATTACTGAGTGCTTTTGGAGTGCACTTGGTTTAGATGTCTTAAGGGGAGCAGAGCTCATCTGATAATCTGGCTTCAAGTATAGGTTCCAAATATTTCTGCGTATCTAGTCTGTATTCTATAAACAAACTACATAGTAGCTCTGTTCTCATCTCTCTCCCTTCTCTCCCCCCCCCCATTAGCCTATTGTATAAGCCTAGCAGATATTAATCAATTTCTTTTGAAAGTTGAAATCAACAAAAACCTACCAGAGATATATAGAGCATTCTTAAAACTAAAATACCCACTCGAAGAACTTGAACCCCTTCTAGACAGACCCAAAGGAGAAAACAGAATTTCACTTGTCATCACCTACAGTCAACAACTTAAACCCCTCCAACACATTATCAAAAATCTACAACCTATCCTGGAAAATGACCCCTCACTCTCAGAGGCCTTGGGGGAGAGGCCAATTCTCTCTTACAGACAATCCCCTAACCTAAAACAACTTATTTCCGGTAACCATGCAACACAGCTACATCATAAGTATCCAGGAAATCACCCTTGCAATCAGCCCCGGTGCCAACTCTGCCCACACATCAACACAAGTGTTTTCATCACTGGACCCAATCATATCAGCCACCAAATCAGAGGCTCATTTAACTACACATCCAGTAATGTGATCTATGCCAGTAATGCCCCACTGCAATGTATGCTGGCCAAACTGGACAGTCTCTATGGGGAAGAATTAATAGACACAAATCAGATATCCAAAAAGGCAACACAAAAATGTGTTGGAGAACACTTTAATCTTCCTGGACTCTCTTTAATGGATCTCCAGGTCGCTGTTTTGTTTCAGACCAATTCCACAAGCCAAATACACAGAAAAGGATTGGACCTTAACCTCATTCATAAGTTTAATTTTTATGCTAATGGTCCACAGTGGGATATTGGATGGCTGAATATTATCAACCAACCAACCAACCAACCAATTAAGGTGCTTGATACTTGTATAGCATCTGGTGTTGATCATCTTTCTTTCCAGGTGCAAACTAATGGTTCTTATCAGCCTCCTGTAATTTTTAGTCTGTGAGATGCTGCTAGATTAATTGTTTTTCTTGTTACAGACAAACTTGGCTACCCCTTTGAACACCTGGCTCATGGGCTGCATTTGCCCCACTGCTTTGTTTCCTCTAGTCCATGTTGCAGGCCAGAAGCCTTGAGCCTTGACCCCTCTGCATGGCTCGAGCCTCAAGTGCTGTTTCTCCAGCATGACCCTATGGCCCCTAGGCAGAATGACATTCAGGCAAGTTCAATATGCTGCTACCACTCCCAGCACCGTCCCTGCAGCACCCATTGGGTGGAAATAGGTCCTGTGAGTGTCACGTTTAACCAGTCAACCGATTAAATGTCAGGGCAGCATGCCCCTGCCTCAGACAAAACTGCTTTAGCCATCTGCATGGAGCAGCCCTGGTCTGTGGCACGCCGCTTGAGCCAGGCCCATCATGGACAGGGGCTGCGGTGGGCCCTGCAGAGCTGGAGCAGCTCCTTGCTTGTGTGTCCCCTCTACTAACCCGCCACAGTTAGGAAAGCCCTTTTCAGCAAAGTCAGCCACTAAGCATACTTGCCACACAGCCTTGCAGCAATACTGCTCCAACAGTAGACTTTACTCCAAACTGGCTCGCAACTGAGCAGTAGCCATTTGGAGTGGCCATCTTTCCCCAAAGCTTCTCTACTGAGAGAGCAGCTCTCATTCGGGTGTCCTTGTTCAGGGGCCAGTTCATTACAAAGGTCCAGGAAGGTTGCTTTATGCATCCTAAAGTTCTGGAGCTGCTGCTCTTCACCCCATACTTGCATGACAACCCTCAGAGTTGGTTTCCCTAACCCAAAAGCAATGAACCACTGAGTATATTGGATCTGCTATAGCTCAGTGATAGATCAATTCATCATCCTCTGAATCTGAGGAGTAATTGTCATTCGCTAGCAGGTTCATAATTAGGTATGCTGCAACACCATAAGGGCCAGAAGGCTGGAATCCATGTTTTCTTGCTGCAGTTACTCAAGTTGGTGCAAAAACCATGTCTGGGAAGAAAAGAGATGGCTGACAGGATGTTTTTCACATTCCCAACATGCCCAGCACTACGTTGCCCTTTCCTCGGGTTGAGTGAGTGAAGGTGATGCCAAGGCACTGAGATGCATACCCACAATACTTTAGTCTTCCTGTTGATGAGGGAGCTGCAGACCTGGCCTGAGTTGTCAACAATGGGTACCACAGAAAATCTGGTTTGGTGAGTTTTCAGTTTTGGTGACTTTTACCTGTTGATAGTAGGGATGTTAGCTGTAGTTCCCACTAAGGTGTGCGCCTGCATGTCCACACACAAAGAATTCTTCCTCCACCCACCTCCTTTGGAGAGCTCCTCAGTAGAACTTATGTGGCAGGCAGCTGCTCCGGCGAGCAGGGCTTGCTGAGATGGTGTGGTGAGGGAACTGCCAGGACCTACCATAACTGTGTTGGGGGAGGAGAGGGGAGGCCTGCTACAGTGGCTGGGGCTGCCACATAGCAGGTGGGGGGGGCTCTGTCCTGGCAGCTGGGGCTGGGAATGGAACATGCCACATGGTGGGGGGAGGCGGGAACAGGGTCTGCTCTGGCAGCCATGACCAGGACATGCCACATGGCCAGGGGAGAGCAGGGTCTGCTTGGAAGGCTGGGAATGGAATCTACCGCATGGTGGGGCCAAGGGGTTTATGCTTTGGTGGCCAGAAATGTGTGTTAATAAATTAGGTGCTACGGTGGCACACATCCAGACCAGCACACATCAACTCAATATTGGTGCATAAGCCAAAACTCATTCTGCTCATGGTTGGAAAATCTTAGAGGGAACACTAATGTATTTGTGTATATGTATAACCACTGCATGTTTTAGCTTCCCACAGGCACTAGCTTCTCCCTCCTCCGCTTACTACCTCTGACAGAGGCAGCAAGGGAAGGGTGGGGGGCACGTGTAGTTGTTTGATAACCCTGGACTTTATTGGCTAATCCTGTTAATTGTGTAAAGGACTACATGCTAATATCCCTACTTGACAACACTTTCATTGCTAAAACTTGCAACTGCGGATATAGCCTCAGAATCTTCTTCGTCTGAGAGTAAGTTGAAAAGTAGCTCTGGTGCAATGCATGATGTCATAAGCACATTGAACACTGCATAGTGGAGAAGTCTGGAGTCCCTGATTTCTCAAGGCAGATGCTGGAGTGCACAGTAAGGACTGCCAGTTTAAAAAAGCACAAAATAAGCTGGAAGCCTGGGAAGGGCTGTGAAGCAAAGACCTGGCTGAAGGGATGTTTTTCACATTCCCAAAAGGCATTGCTCTACATTGCACATTCCATAGCGCTTAGCATTTGAATCTGACTCCAGGCACTGTTGGATGTATACTCACAGGCTGTGTCTAGACTGGCCAGTTTTTACAGAAAAACTTGTCAGCTGTCTACACTGTCTACTTGAATTTCCACAAAAGCACTGATGATCTCATGTAAGATTGTCAGTGCTTCTTGCGGAAATACTATGCTGCTCCCGTTCGGGCAAAAGTCCTTTTGTGCAAAAGGGCCAGTGTAGACAGCTCAGATTTGTTTTCAGCAAAAAAGCCCTGATCGTAAAAATGGCGATCGGGGCTTTTTTGCAGAAAAGCGCATCTAGCTTGGCACAGACGCTTTTCTGCAAAAAGTGCTTTTGCGGAAAAGCGTTCGTGCCAATCTAGACGCTCTGTTCCGAAAATGCTTGTAATGGAAAACTTTTCCATTAAAAGCATTTCCGGAAAATCATGGCAGTCTAGACATAGCCACCTTGCTTTGCTCTGTCAATGAGGATCTAACAATGTGGTCATGAGATATCGACAAAGTATGGCAGTGTAAATGTGATTTGATGACTTTTGCAAGTTGACATTACTTTTGTTGCCAAAACTTCCTGGTGTAGACATAAGATTAGTTATATAAATATGGTAATGTTTAGTGTAGAATCGTAAGCAGTGTTGTAGCTATATTGGCTATAGGATATTAGAGCGTAAAAATAGGTAAGGTAATATCTGTTATTGGAACCAACTTCTCTTCGTTATCTCCTTCCCTAAAAGAGCTAAAAAATCTTGCCTCACCCAGAAGTTGGTCTGCTCACCCCGGTTTTAATGTGCAATTGATAGCACACTTTACACCTTATTTCATAACATTAACAGATCTGTATTTTGATCAATGTACAACATAAGTGATGTTTATTAACTTGGAGGGGAGGGGCAGAGTGCAGCAGCAACCATCAATGCATAAACTGTAGCTGTCAAGGCCAGTTATTTACATTCGATATGTCTATACAGTAGTGTTATTTTGGAATAACTGATGCTATTCTGAAATAACAAAATGCACCCCTACAGAGCAAACTATTATTTTGAAATAATGTTGAGATGGAGGACTTCTTATGCTGACTCTTGTAACCCTCATTTCAGGAGGAGCAAGGGAAGTGGAAGGAAGTGTACAGGCATCAAAAGCCAAATTAAGCTATTCCAACTTCAGCTGTGCATTTGACTGTGCTGAAGTCGCCTAC